ATGTGCATATGTGTCAGTATATGCAGGTCCCTGTGTGTGTTTGTGTGCGTGTGAATAATGCAAGATGTTAGCAGGCAAAGGATGAGCAGGCTTTCAGTAAGACTACAAAACTACACTAAAATGGCTTGAGTATGAACCAAAAAACTTAAAAATACCTATATAACACTATAAAGACATAATCATATAGAGAGATACCAAAATATTTAAATAAAAACTAACTTCACCAGTCAGATTTCTTACTGGCTTTACTTCAGACTTGGCGGAAGCCTGCTGAGACTTAGCTACTGGTCAGGGGCCATGTCTGATGAGGTTCTTGACACGTTTGTTGCCTGGGGACAGTCTGAGATTGAGTGGACTGTGTATGTTAGAAGCGAGCAGGTTTTTGGGGACTCTGACAATAAAGTAATTTGTTCCCATTGCTCCAACTTCTACATTTTATGGAATATGTTCTAATCTTTGTCCTCAAAACTGGAAGACAATTGTCATATTCCACTTCTCCTCTCCCCTCCCCCAGTAAAGACTTCTCTGTAGGGGCAGCTAGGTGGCTCAGTGGATAGAGCACTGGCCCTGGAGTCAGAAGGACCTGAGTTCAAATCTGGCCTCAGACACATAACACTCGCTAGCTGTGTGACTCTGGGCAAGTCACCTAACCCCAACTGCCTCATCAAAAAAAAAAAAAGACTTCTCTTCTTCAGGCTAATAAATGATTTTTAATGAAGCATTTTTATTAGGGCAGGATAGTGTAGGAAAGAGTCAGAAGACTGAGTTCAAGTTGAGTATTTCATTACTTAATAAGCAAATGTATCTGGACAAGTCACAACTTCTTAGCCTCATCAAAGCACTTTGTAAACTGTAAAATGTTATTTTAAAAAATTCATCCATCATTCAGTTACTTCTCTCCTCTTTCTTGAGCTATTATCCAAATATGTAAGAGAAAAATATTAACACTCATGAGATTTTGTATTAAAGGTGAGTTAGAAAGATTTTTCTGAGAAGTTAATAATGTGTTTTAAAGTCCAAAAGAAAGAGGTATATAGCTGTTATTTTAAAATGTAATTACTGCTATATTTTAACAGAATGACTTCCCAAGACTGCAATAACATTTTGAGAATTCTCAAGATGCTACAGAAATAGAGAAGCCACTCAGTTAAAATACAGCACTGATTACTTTCTTTTAAACAACAGAGCTGTGCACACTGCCTTTTCCTTGGTCCTTGTAGTGTGTTCATCATCACAGGCAGGGCTCTTAGACATCACCATTCCCTCATTTTCAGGATGAGGCCGAAAGAGGTAAAGTGATTAGGCAAGGGAGAAGGAAAATAGCTTCATTATTAAGAAAGAGAAGAAAAATTGGTCCTGTAAATAGGGCCCCAAAGAAGAGAGATGAGGAGACATGCTTCTCTACATTACATGGTCACTACTAGGACTGTGCCACAAAGAGATCCAAGAAAGCGTGTAAAGGACTCCTATGCAGAACAGTTGGGGTGGTAGTGAAGCTCATGAACTCAACGAGATAATGTAAGAAATGATGAAAGGGATGCTTTTAGAGAAACCTGAGAAGACTTTCATGAAATGATGGGGAATGAAGTGAGCAGGACCTGGAGAACAGGTGATATAATACTATTAAGCATAACAACCTTGAAAGACTTAAGAACTCTGATCAATGCAATTCCGGAGGACCGATGATGAAGCATGCTATCTACTTTCTGACTAAAGGATAATGGATTCCAGATGGGAAATAAGGCACATTTTTGAACACGACAAATGCAGGAATTTATTTTGAATATGCATGTCTGCTACAAGGGTTTTTGTTTTTTCATCTGGGGAGGAACAGTTCTTGGGAAGAAGAAAAAATGATTTTTTTGTTCACTGAAAACAAAATAAAAAGAAAGATTAGAATAAAAACCTGGCCTCTAAACCTGACTCTAGAAGCTGTTCTGTTGTTTTCAACTATCTCTGACTCTTCATGACCCCATCTGCTGTTTACTTGGATACTGGAGTGGTTTGCCATTTCCTTCTCCAGTTCATTTTACAGATGAGGAAACTGAGATAAACAGGGTGAAGTGACTTGCCCAGAGTCACACAGCTTGTAAGTGACTGAGGTCAGATATGAACTCAGGAAGATATATCTTCCTGATTCCAAGCCTGTCACTCTATCTACTGTGCCACCCAGCTGCCCTGCTACTTGCTACCTGGTACAAACTAAGGCAGATAACTTAGATGCTCTGAGACTCAGAATCTTGTTATAAAATAAGGGGCTTGGACTTCAAAATTCCTTTTAAATCCAAATCTCCAATGCATTATACCTTTCACTCAGTGTTGCATTCTAAATAGTGTATTATTTTTAATCTGAGGGTAGAAACTGTTTTCATTGGTTTTTGTTTGTTTGTTTGTTTGTTTGTTTTTATCCCAAGTGCCTGGCAGGCAGTAAGTAGGCCTTTCTGAAATGGTGCTGAGTTGAACTGAAGCAGTACTTTAAATAAATGGCTAGATGGTCAACAAGGCTCCTAGATTTGGCTCTTAGACAGTCATGGCTCTGTGTACACTGGCCTAAAAATAAATACATAAATAAAACTCATACCTTCTTTATTTTTACATGAAGTCAATGCTACTAAGTGTTGTTTTTGTTTTATAATCATTAAAACCTGCTACAGCTTTTGAATTAAGATTCAAGCTTTTAATCAGGGTAAATGACAAGGACAGGTCATGGTTTGAGAAGCCAGAGCTATACCTGGATCCAAATCTTTCCATTTCAGAGACATCATTCCCACTTTGCCCTTTTCCAGTAGGGATTAGCACCTGACGCCCTTTACGTGTGGGAGAAGGAGTTGGCAGATTCAGTTTCAAAAGGGCATGATTTACGTTATAAAAAGAAGAAAAAAAAACTGTCAAGAGCCCCAAGTCTCTGGAGTTCAGCTGATGGGGTAATCAACTGAATAATGCAGACTTATCTTTGCAATACCATTTCCAAGAGCCACAAAGAATGTGTACTGGGAGAAACTAGAGAAGGCATCTTTGCCTCCATTTTCTGTAAACAGCTTTTTTATGTCTAAGTGGACACTGGGTTTCTATGAATTTACATTGATCTCTTTAGACGACTCCTTCTTTTCCTAATCAGATATGTTTCTCTTTATGTGGTCAGCATTCCATTAGGAAAAGCCCAAGGAAGGATAAAAAACTTCCACCTCCTGCCCTACCCCCAGTTGATTTTCCATGTAGACTTTAAGTCCATGGAATTGCGCCTGTTCTTATGAATCCTCTACAACTTCACTTCCTCAAAAGTCTAGGATGCGTTTCAGACTATGCCCAGCTTTCTTTTTCTCCATCACTAATTCTTTGATACAGTAGTTACTGCCAGATAAAATTACCATTATATGTACTTCAAAAATCAATTCTTCCTTGTTGTTAAGAATTAGAAAGGAAACTAAGGGGGTACTCATGAATTAGGGAATAAGTGAAGGAATTATGGTATATGAATGTAATAAAATAATATTCTGCTCTACCTGGGGAGATTTGGATGAAGTTAAATCAGAGGGAAGCAAGAAGAACCAGGAGAACATTTATTACAATAACAAGGACAGCGTAAAGACAAACAACTTTGAAAGACTTAAGGGTTGCAATCAATGCAGTGACCAACCACAAGTCCACAGCCCATGTCTTGACAGGGTAGGGTTGGATTCAAGATGCACATACACATCTTTGGGCACAGAAAATGTAGGAATTACTTTTTTTTGCTTGTCTAACCCTATTTGTTATGAGGATTTTGTTTTTCTTTTTTTTTTTCTTCTAAATGGAAGAAGGATGGGAGATAAAATAAATGCTTATTAACTGAAAAATAAATAAGCAAACACATGAAAAGAGAATTCTATCCAGGAAAGCAGAAAGTGACTTTCCAATCACATTCATTCAGTGTCCTACCACATTAGATACCAGTGCATGTGATGAATAATGCCAGAATCCAGCTCCCAAATTAGATTTAAGACTTTTTTTAATAAAAAAAAATACTTTCCAAATAATTATGCAATAGAATCCCATACAAATTTTTCTGAGGGTTTGAAAGATCATGAAATTTAGAGGGCTATGTAACAGCACACAATCACAGAGTTTTTTAAAAGCTCCTCCTAAGAGCATATTTATAAGTATAGTTTCTAAACACTACAGATAACATCTCTCTAATTTAATAAGATACAGCTGAACTAAAGAGTATTTCCCCCTAAAAGTCACCTAAGACATTTATAATAATTTCACTTGTGCCAGTAGTAGTTTACAAAGTACCCTTGAAGGAAAAGATAATATTGTTGGTAGAGTGAAGACTTATGTTACTTGAGAAAGGAAAATTCATTCCTCTGTCTACTTAAAGAAAAAACGGTTACTACTATTTGCTGTTGGAAAAAAATAATAAAAGAAAAGCCGTGTTGTATTTTCTCCCATCAGCTAATCAATTCTTAAAAACTTAAATAATTTAACAATAGCAAATGATAGTACATCCCTCAACGCACTTAGACCATGGGGCACACAAAACCACACTAATGCCTTTAGGAGAGAGATAACTACCAAGATATCGTTAATCAAATGGGCTGTTTATGAAAAACAGCTAGGAAAAAGCAATTCTCATCTTCAGCCTATGTTCCCAGCCAAGCAAGATTTTTTTAGGCTGGTCTACATGAAGCTCTGCCATGAAACTGGAACCAAAGACTTGATTACATCCAGTAATTCCATCTACTGAGATAGGAAGATTCCAGGAGTCTATGGATGGCACAAAGAAAATCTGTACTTTTTTGATCAATAATCAGCCCAACTGTTACATTCACAATAACCTCTGATGTTGCATAAGATTGAATACTTTATATCATAAATAAAATGTTCATCTTTTATAATAACATGACTTTTACTTTCAACACTGCATTCTATTTTAAAGGTGCAAAAAATGATGCTGGAAATATGCCAAATGATGAACTTAATATAAGTGAATGAGCTACATGAGAAAAGGCAAAACCCACCTGTAACTGCAAGGCTTCATGGTTTTCCAGTCCTTCTACAATTGGTGAAAATCGTTCTTTATTGTTTCTTTCAGCTGCTGTAGTGATAGCTCCTAAAAGTTTGTCTAGACTGATGGGGAAAATAATAAGAAAAACAATAAAAAAGATAAAAATACTACATTATCAAATTATCAATATGGCTTTCCTTTTTCAGTCTTCCATTTTCTTTCCCTTTGCTTATATTTGTAAACCCCATTAATGCTTTAAAAATGTGTTACTGTGACACATTTCTAATAAAATACAACTGATTAAATTTTAAATTATGACTACTTCCTCAAATTGAAAATGAGATCAAATGAATATCTTTGGGGAAAGTCCTTAATGATGCTAATATAGCCATATTTACGTGATAAATATTCTAATTCCAATCATTTCCTTCTTTATCTTACTTCTTACACCTAAGTGAAATTAACATCTATTTAACAACAAATTTAACACAACATTACACCTATTGTTGATACTAGTTAATGCCAATAGGAACAGGCCATGTTTTATGAATGAGCTCTGTGAAAAAGTCAACATGGAAACCAAAAAGCAATGCTAACAATATTGACATTCTTTTACAATGGAGCAGAAAATAATACCTAACTCGAAAGCTCAGATAAGAAGGAAACATGCCTATTATTAGTCTAATACAGATCAAATTATCTCAACAAAAATTAGCTTCCTCCCATGATTTCATCTTTGACAGTTATAATTTATCAAACTGAGGACTAAATTGTAACATTTTATCCCTTTTTAAAGACAATTTGCTTTCATGCAGCCTATTATTCTTCCCAAAAGATTTCTGAAATGAGTATCAAATGACATCAAATGATTTTAGGATAGGTTCTCTTTTAAAGACTAATAAAACCCTGACATATTAAGAGGCTGCTCCTTTGGTAGACAGAACCTGCCATTTTATACTGTGATACTGTTCTGACATAAAATACAATTAAGTCTGAGATCATGGTTTACCATCTGCTCCTTAAAATTTTGGTTTCTCCTAAGCCAGAATTCAATGACTTTAAAACTGCTGACCATTCCTTTTGCTAACAGAGATGGAAAAGGAGTAGTCTTCTTGTATCATTCTTAAACCTGGTAATTACACACACAAGTAAGGAACATCCAAAGCAAGACTGAGAGGTGGGACAGCTAGCTGGACCACCTAACATAAAACGGAATCTGCAAAGTCTGACTTCTCAGTTTGTGTATTTCATGGAAATTTCAATTTACAACACAAAAGCCCCCATACAAAGGATGCTAACCAATTCTAGTATGGACTGGAATGTCTCATTCTAGGCAGACATTTAGCACAGTGACCTCAAAACCAACTTCCTTAAGTAGGTAAGTAAGCACAGCCTTTTCCTTCTTAAATACGTAAGAGGCACTGGGCCTTCACAGATGACACATGGCACAAGTCTGTAAGTTTAAGAACCTAGAGCAAATAACTGATTCAGTAGAGAGCAGACAAGTTCTAGCTCCCTAACCCCTAACCCTTCTTTTGCTACCATATAAAGAAAACAAGGACTCAACAACAAGAAAACAAAACCACCACCTAATCTAATGAACAGATGAACAACTGATATGTTTTTGTTTTTCGTTTTTCTTTCAAATGGCTGTTTGGCATATAAAGTAGGCATAAATAACGTGTTTTCTTTGGAAATCTCACTTTCAATAAGAGCTTCACCATTCAGATTTTATCTTTAACATTCTACTAACAAAGAAAAAGTAAGTGCTAAAATGTAAAATAGGCAAGATAAATGTTATCCACAAATTCCCTAAAGTTTTGCAGTGTTTTCAGTGTAAGTCTTTTAGTAATAGAAAAACATAGTTTTAATTAATTTTGCAACATTTTTCTTCTGAGAAGCAAACAACAGTATTACTCACATATTATCTTCTCCAACAATGCAAATAGCAGAAAGTATTTTTACTATTTCCGTCATCATGTTGGGCTGTCTAGGGTCAATTGCCCTTGCTAGCAATAAAAGGCTTCTTTCATCACCTAGAATTCTTTGCAACCCAAACTATCAAAAAAAAAAGGAGAAAAATAACAGTAAATTAAAGGGGATGTAGATCACTGTGCAGTCATCATTTTTATAGAGAGAATATATTTAAGCCAAAAAATAAAACTACTGCTTTTCACTGACGCCCACATGATACTTCTAAAAGGGAATTGTGAAATAATTATGTTCTTTTCACAGGGTCAGAGCTTTAGATCTAGAAGGGATCCTTAGAGGACAATGAATCAGATCCCCTCATTTTACATATGAGGAGACTGAAGTACAGAGTAGCTAAGTGACTTGTACCAGGTCACACAACTAGTAAATATCTGAGCCAGAATTTGAACTCAGGTCTTCCTGATTCCACCAAGCTATGTTGCCTCTTGGAATTTATTATTATTTTTCTTTGAAAGGTCATATCTTCTATAACTACCATTCAGGTATGATCTCCATTAGATTGTTCTAATAATCACAAATAATTTGTAGTATTCCTGCTTCAAAGAACTAGTAAGGCAGATGTATATTGACAAGAATTTTTAGGAGTCATTCTACTCATATCATTGAGTATGTCAGTGGATGTCTGAAATTCAAAGTTAAAATCATCAGTAAAAAACATAGTAGAGGACTTTGTGGACTTCTGGGAGCCAAGATGATGGAGTAAGAAGAAAGTCTCTCTCACCCTCCCTTACTGACCTCTGAAAGCCCAAAAAATTACCCCAGGAAAAAACCTTGAACAGCTGAGAAAGCAGAAAGATGGGGTGCAGCAGTCTTGTAGCCCAGGAAGCTTGAGGGATTAACAGAAAAGGCCCCTCTTGTTCTGGGAGAGGGGGAGCAGTATAGGACAGGAGGCATCCCAGCAAGACAGCAGAAAGCCTACAGCAAGCCCCACCCCAGCAAACCAGGGGAAGATCCTGAACCCCAGGGTGGTGGAGCAGGCAAGCGTCAACACCAGGACCCCCCAAGTGCCTCAGCATAAGCAGGGGAACCGGTAAACACCAGCTCAGAAAACTACCACATATGCCAGCATTCTCCAGTAGCCAAATCTCCCAGTACTTCAGTAGAACTCCAAGATGGCAGACATCCTCCAGCAGACAAACATTCGAGTACTTTAAAGAAGCCCAGGTGAGTAGGTGTCGTCTAGGGGCCAGACTCCCTATCCCCCGCTCCCAGCTCCAGTTCTTCTGACCCCAGCCCAGTACCAGGTAAGCTGCCAGACCTCTACAGCCCCCAGCTGCCAGCACTTCAGACCCCAGCATGCAAAGTCAGTGACCAGATCCCAGGCTCCTACCACAAGAAGCTTGGGTCAGTGCCCCCCCACCACATTCCAGCAGGAGAGCTCAACTTTAAAAGTCATGAAATAGGAAAACACCATGAGCAAAAAGGAGAAATGGACAATGATGATAGATTTTTATTATGGGGACAGGGAAGATCAAGGCACAAATTCAGAAGAGGACGACATTGTTAATATACCCACATTCAAAACCTCAAAGGGGAATATGAACTGGTCTCAAGCCCAAAAAGCCTTCTTGGAGCTCAAGAAGGATTTTAAAAGTCAAATAAGAGAGGCAGAAGAAAAATTGGGGAAAAAAATGAGGGGTATGCAATAGAGAATCAATAGCTTGAAAAAAGAAAGACAAAAATTGACTGCAGAAAACAAGTCCTTAAAAAATACAATTGGCCAAATGGAAAAAAAGTACACTGAAGAAATGAACTTAAAAAGTAGAATTGGACAAATGGAAAAGGAGGCACAAAAACACATTGAAGAGAAGAACTTCTTGTACTATAAGACATAACCAAAAGGAAAGATTTAGGGAAACATGGGAAGATTTGGATAACAGAGTTCATGAAGTAAGCAGAACCAGAAGAACAATTTACATATTCATATTACAACACTGGGACGGTGGCATGTAGTGATAGCAATGGATAGAAAAAAAAAGAGAATCAATGAAACATTCAAAAATACATAGAACAGAAAAACTTTCAGAAGGAGTCATAGACAAGAAGAACAGCATTAGAACTACCATATTACACCACAAAAAAAAAAAAAACATTTTGTATGTAGTATATTCTTGGTTTCATATGCCATCCTCTTTCTGTCTTTATACATAGATATGTTCATGCTTGTTAAAGACTGATAAGTTCATAATAAAAAATTATTAAAAAAGAAATTGAAAGGCTGTTTTGTATAGCACCTAATAGCCAAAGAAGCAATAAAGTATGTGCATCTTTCCATAATTCTGTATTATGCTAAAAATTATGAAATACAAGGAAATAACTCCTGGGTTTTCTCAAGTACCAAAGCTGACTAGGTTAAGTGAGGCAGGATACCATTTTCCTTCATTTCTTAGGCATAACTGTATATGTATATTTTTTTCAAGAAGATTCTCCAAAAGTACGGTTGTCATAAGACTGAAGATGTAATTTTTTAAAGATCTGAACCACAAAATATGTCTAAGGCTTTACATACAATGCTATACTTCTTCATAGAGGCCAACACTGTGCTGTGAAGCCCAATCTAAGCACTACAGTGTTCAGCAATGACTTCACATACAGATCATTTGAAGTAAGGAAACAGAGAAAGTAAAAAAAGGAAATGGAGAAGCCAAGTAGCAAGACAGAAGGCACAGTAAAGGGGAAGATGAAGGGAGAAAAATACAGGTAAAAATGAATGAGTCACTGGCAGTTACTGAAGTTAAAGTAAGTGTTTTAAAGAAAATTAGAATTCAGAAAGAAAATCATTTAATTTTCCAATGATTTGTTCTTTCAATAGTATAAGCATAATCCAAAAAAGGTGATATTCAAATTTCTAATTTAAAAACTAAAACTTCACATTACAACATATATCATAACATGACATAATTAAGACAATCCAAGCAGTTTCTTAGGGTATCAGCACAACAGGTCTTGGCTAAATGAAAAGCATTTCTTAAAGATTTTTCAGGCCAGACCTGAGATTTCATTGGTATGGGGAATTCCCAGTGAGGAAATACCCTCTACCAGTTCTGGGCAACACTTGCCTTAGAGAGCTGCCTGAGGCACTGAGAAGCTAAGTGACTTGCCCAGGGTGACATGAGCAATAGATGTATGAAATAGAACTTGCATCCATGTCTTTCTGAAAGTGAGACTACTTCTCTATTCACTATAGCATTCTGCCTTTGGGGTGAATTTAGTAGGGGAACAGGGAGAAGAGGCACACAGGGAAGACAGGCATGGATGGGTTGACCATTGCATTACTGGAAGGAATATCTGCATCAAGGAGGTCAAAAATCGATCTGAAGATTTGAGTTAAAACAAAACTGAGCACATAGTAACTGGGAAAACACCGGTATGCCTCAACTTCAAATGGACTCCACTTGGCATCATGTCAGACAAATGGATGTTTCTATAAAACATTCAAACTCTAAGAAAAGGTCATATATGTCAACATAACTTTTTAAAGGGAAAAAAAGCTCCAGAAAGGGACATAGCACTAATTTTCTGATATGAATAACTTTTATTGATTAAATCTATCCAGGAATCCCAAAGACTGGAGAGATTTGGCAACAGTCAGAGCAAGTGATGAAAACCAGAACTCCCTGTCCAGACTTCTCTGGGCCAAAAAGAATGCATTTTTAATGTAATCAGCTACTGGCTGAACACAGAGGAACAAGGGCACCCAAATATAGACAGAATGGTGCTTTCTTTATCATGAATTTTGATATGATTATGCCAAAGCATACAGTAGAGTTGAGCAAACTATTTTGTAATCATGACAGGCCTCCTGGAAAAGGCTATAAGGAGGATCAAGTAGCATTTTGCTACCCAGGGTTATGAAAGGTCCATTAGTAACCTAACAGTAGAGAAATTCTGTGCTCAGCTGGGATTTCTCATTTCTTTGCAATTGTCTTTGTTGGCAGAGTGGTCTTAATACTTACAAAAAAAAAATCTGTGCTTTTTATGAACACTGCTTACAGATTATTTAAATGGACTATCTTATTGCATTAGTTATTAATAGTTATATTTCACACTTGGCAAGTTCATTGTTATCACTACAATTATTTATTTCTATTAAGCATTTTGAGATTATTAAAACACCATCTGAAGGGAATTAAGTAATTAAATGAATTAGTCAATGATATTTCACCTATAGGCATAGAGAGCAAATAGTTTCCAAGCCAATAACTTTAAAATGGCCTGTGGAAAAAGAAACAAATTATATTTCTCTTTCAAACTACTAAAAGTCTAGACTATTTTTAAAAAGACAAATATTTCTTTTAAATTCATTAAGCAATGAAAATGTAATTTGCATTGGACATACACATGGAATCACCACTCACTCCAGCTCCTCCCTCCCCAAATCTTCTAGAAATATTCTTTCCAAGCAAGGACCCATTAACTCACTGCCATCAATTTAATATCTGAAACAGGGAAGTATTAAGGCAGTGATGGTCCTGACAAATGAGCCAACAGAAAATATAAGGATCCATAAACTTTGATTTGCTTCTCCCCATCCTCCACCCCCCCACACCTCATGAAGTCATAAACAAAAAGCTGGGTCTAGAAATATTACTGGCTATACATTTTATTTTTGCACAAATATTAACTCATTATTATAAAAAGGATTATCTAAAATGAGAGTACCACAGATTCATTTATGTATGCCACTTGATAACATATGTCCTTTAAAAATGAAACATTAATTACATTTTGGTCAAAGTATAACTTTAAAAAGGGAAAAAACTAAACTAAATTTGTAACAAAGCACAGTACATAGGACCCTTTTTATCTGTGCATATTGGTGTGTATCAAAATGCTTTAAGGAAGACACATGAAGAGAAATAGCTGTGGATGTAAATTAATCTTACCTTGTTATTCATAAATGCTCTCAGGCATTGAATAAGTTTATGCTGATTCTTCTTGTCAATACTTTCTTGCCTAAACGTAAAAAAGAAATACTTTATACTGCTTTCTAAAAATTTCTCCATTGGTAATTTTTTAAAATATGTTTTCTTACTGTTTTTTATCCAGAAGCTTCTCTAATAGATCCAACAAGACTCCAAGACCTTCATGGCCAAAGTTGTTAACCCAGCTGTAAGACAAACAAAATCAAAAAGTAAACAACCACATATAGAAATAACAACTTGAAATAAAGTCAGGATTTTAAATGAGAGGATGCTGAATTGTGTTTGAATATTTTTCCACCTTCATTTTATATCAACTTCAAACATAATTTTTTATGGATTAATAAATCTAAAATATTCTCAATTAAAAAGTACCATGAGAGTGCTTTGAATTTTTTTTTTCAAACACATAGATAAGCAAGGGTTTTAAAATTGAAATTATATCACTCTGAAAATTTTGAAAATTATGTTTAAAAAGGCACTGGAAAATCATGATACTAGCAAAATATTCACATGAAAATGATCCCAAGACAGTTCGATGAATACATAAAAGGGTATCATGTGGGAAATAATTACAAGAGATAAACATGTGAAAGTGGTTAAGGAGCAATACTTTTAAAAATAAATGAAATCTCCACAAATACATTTTTAGAATTACTTCTAAAGGATGGTACAGGTAAAAATGATTCATTTTATGAAATATTTAATACTACCCAATACTATTCCTTTAATTTGTTCTAAATTATGCTAAAGCAGTTGCTGCAAGGGTAAATTTCAGAACTTTTTACATTTTAAGATTCTCTTCGTGGCCTAATCAAAATAAAGAAATACTTTTAAGAAAGAAGACATTTTGTTTTGCCAACTCTGATCATTATAAAAACATAGAATGTAACAGCTGGTAGGAGCCAGAGAGCATCTAGTTCAACCCATATATTGAAAAATCACATCTAAAATATGCCTTCTGGAGGATCACCTAGCCTTTGCTTGCAGACATCTATTGGAGGGGAACCTTCTATTTCCTAATGAAACCCATTCCACTTCTGGATTCCTAAATGCCATGTTTGCTTGTTTTCTTTATCATGTCTATATTCATCCCTTTTTGATACCTTCTGCCTGCTTCTTACACATTATGACACATTACTGGGCTGAATCTCCCATTCCCCCGCCCTCCACCTGGGTTCTGAGTCAGAAAACTTGACGGAAGAGTAGAGACTGGGGGGTGCCATACCCAATAGAAAAAAAAAAAAAGATGACTTCCACTGTAAAAACAGGTAACTTTGAAAGACTTAAGAACCCTGATCAAGACAATGAGTATTCACGATTCCAGAAGACTAGTGATAAATTATGCTACCTACTTTCTGACAGAGAGGTGATGGACTCAGAGTGTACAAGAAAACATATTTTTAGATATGCCCAATGTAGGAATTTGTTTTGGTTGTATATTTGTTAAATGGACTTTGTTTCTCTTTCCTTTTTTTCAGTAGGAAGTGGGGAAATAAGAGAAAAACCAGACTTTTGTCAACTGAAAAAAAAAATTAAATTAAACAAATTTTAATAGGTGACATTATGGGAGGGAACTCACAAACAAATGAGATCATGAATCCATTTGAACATGTGAGAAGCATAGCAGAGGGGACAGAGGTCAGGTCTTGGCATCAGGATTACCTGGGCTCAAGCTATACCTTTAACATAGAATGGCTGTGTGACTTTGGTCAAGTCACTTAACTGGAAGCTCCCTGCTATAGGCAGCAATGAAGTCACAGGTTGATACTACACTTACATATAGAGACATACACAGATGCACACAATCAACCCTCGAATCTATGCCTTCAAATCCTATTCAACTCTTGTCCATGTTCTCTCAAAAGGTCCATCTTCCTTATTATTTTCTCAACAACACCACAGTACCACCAAAGCTCTATGGTTATCATCATGTGATCGGGCCATCTTCTTTTTCTAACATACAATTCTTTGCTGTCTTTTCTTCTTTTTCTTCTTTGGAATTCCTCACTGGTTCTATGTTCCAGCCTTGTCACATCCACCAAGTGCCTCTCCATTGCTCTCTGTATTATATTTGTTTTTAGTTCTTCAGAGGCACTGGTGATACAGTTCTCACTGCCATATCATAATAGTAATAAAATGTTAGTATTGATAAGATAGGCCTTTGTTTTCATAGGAAACATGGAATCAATAAAAAACCTTTGCAATTTTTGGAAAGCAATCCAGTCTGCTTCCCTCCTCTTGTTCATTGCTGGGCCAAAGCATTACCTATCCATACTATCTATGGCAGATATAGGTACTGTGAAACAATTTCCATACACTGGTCATCCAAATAAATACATGTTGAAAGAGGAAAACAAGCACTCTTCATTTACTTGGTCATTCTCATGTAGGTAGATAGGAAAACCTCCTGAGTGACTCCAGCTCTCTTTGAAGAGGCTCTATAATGTTCAGGAGCTAATGCAAGCAGCACAATTCCATCAACAAGCAGAAGCACTTTCACAGAGAATCCAACTGTAATCCAGTCTCTGCACCCAGATCTCTTCCATCTTTCTGGTGAATATACAGCTCCATATTCGATGTTCTCCCCCCACCCATATTTATTATCAGAAGGTCACTGAACAGAAGGATTTGTGTTATGTATTCCAAGGAACGCTGAATGATTTCGATTTATGAATAGACAATACCTTGTAAAAGGGCCTATGAGACAGTTTCATCCTAAGCACAATGGGAGAGAGAGAAAGAATGATCTAGAAGACATTTCTGTATATGGTATATATCTCTCCAGATCACATGTAAGGTCCTCAAGGGCAAAGGCCATGGTATCTTCTGTCTTTGCATCTTTAGTGTCAGGCATACAGAAAGTGCTTAGCAAAAGCTTCCTGAATGAATCAGTGATTACCTATCACGAATAAGATTTAGGACAAGGTATTTAAGACATGTCTTCCCTCTGATAAGTGGCCTGTTTCATTAGACAACACAGTTGAATGAGATCAAAAAGCAGATATGAAACTGGGGTCTGGGGTCGAAGTGGAGACAGAAATAGATCTACCTCAAGGTTGGTACTAGAGCCATTAGTAGAATCAAAAACAGAATTTGAAAGAGAAAGAGAGAACAAGAAAAGGGACAAGTAAGGAGAAAGAGTTAGTTTATTAAGAGATTTTCTTGCTTCAACTGTTCTAGCTTACACAATTGTCATTGTAAAATTTTATTCCACTAAGCACCAGAGGTCAATAATATATACATACATCAAAGGTGACACAGAGATACCCAAGAAACATAAGTCAAGTCATCATTGTTGTTTATTTGTTTCAGTCATGTTTGACTCTTTGTGACCCCATTTGGGGTCTTCTTGGCCAAGAAACTGGAGTGGTTTGCTAGATAAGGAAACTGAGGCAAACAGGATGAAGTGATTTGCCCGGGGGCATACAGCTAGTAAATGTCTAAGTCCAGATTTGAACTCAGGAATATGAGTTGTGGCCAGTTTGGACACATCACACCCAACACTGTCCTGATCAAACAAGGATGATATAGACAAGGAACTGGCAGAGGCATCCAAGCCAATTCCTGCTAACCAGTTCCACACATCTAGGTACTTCCCACTCTCACATCCTACCAAATGCCTTCTGCTGTGTAATAACAGAAAACTTCAAAAAATGTCAGCTCTTTAAATGAAGGAACAATAACTTATTTATAGTTTAATCTTTTAAGCAGACTAGCTCAGAGTTTGGCACATAGTAAGTACTCAAATGTTTGTTGAATTCACATAAGATAAGAAAAATTCATTTGGATTACAGGAGATTAAAATAGTTTGCACCAACAAAATTAACACAATTAGAATAAACAGGCAAGCAGTAAATTGGGGAGAAAATCTTTACATCAAATATCTCTGATATTTAGGGTCTGATATCTTATATATATATACATATATATATATATATATATGTATGTATGTATGTATGTATGTATGTATGTATAAGTAGCTAACAGAAATAATTAAGACCAAAAGCCATTCCTCAATAGAGAGGTAATCAAAGGATATGAACAAATAGTTCTTAAAAGAAATGTACATTATTAATCACATGAAAAGTTGGTCCTAGTACAAATCAAAAGCACTCTGAGATTAAATCTCACATCCAGTAAAATAGCAACGATGAAAAAAAAAAAGAAATCCATGTCGGCGAGATTATGGAAATACAGGCACAGTAATTCACCTGGTAAAGTTGTAAACTGGTCCAATCACTCTGGAAAGCAAATTGGAACTATACTAAAAAAGAGATTATAATGTCCACACCTTTTGCCTCAGAGATGCTCCTGCTGCCCTACACCTGAATCAAGTCAATAACAGAAATAAAAGTTCAGTATACATCAAAGTATTTATTCACAGCAAAACTTTTTGTGATAGCAAAGAACTGAAACAAAAGTAGATGCCCATCAACTGAGGAATGGCTAAGCCAGCTGTGATACAAGAACATAAAAGACCTGAAATGAACTGGAAGAAAAAATCAATATGAAGAACTCAGAAACATGGGCAGATTGATACAAATTGATGAAATTAAAGTAAGCTTAACCAGAAAAACAATAACCTCAATGACTGAAATACTGCAAATATAAAGAACACTGAGAATATAACAATTAAAATGCTGTTAAATTATAATGACCAAGCTTGGCCCCCAAAAATTAGACCTGAAAATACACCTTCCTCTTTTTTTTTCCCATAAGTAGAGAACTTGTAGGTATGGAATGCCAAATATGTTAGACTCAGTTGAAATGATTGTTTTGCTAAGCTTTTTTTCTCTTTAAAAATCTTTTTATTGTACTTTTTAAAAACAAGTAATGACTCTATGAGTAAATGACGGGCAAAGGCCATATCAAGAAATTTAGGTGATGCAAAGACAAATTATAACAATAAAATGTTAACATATATATTTGTTGAATGTGTATAATTATTTAGTCTGTCTCAGCAGACAGGATGCACCTTGAGGACATATTGTGTTCCCCTCAAAGCTTAAGATAAGTAAGAGCTTGATAAATGCTTGTTGAACTAAATTTGCTGATTTGAGATGATAAACAATGAGATGACAATTTGCACTTTGCCCCTGGCTTTCAGGGATTTAAAATACTTCATAAATACAACATGATAAAGATCAGGGTCCAGCCGGGTAAATATTTAGAATCCCTATCTAGA